GCAGTAGTAGTAGTAGTAGTAGTAGTAGTAGTAGTAGTAGTAGTAGTAGTAGTAGCAGTAGTAGCAGCAGACAGTAGTTAAATGAATTTGGGTGAATTTGGAGTTTTTTTCCAAGAATTTATTCAGGGACAAAACAGTGAAATAAAAACCCCGGGATCATGTCGCGCGAGTTAATACGAACGTTTTAAGACCAAAATAACGAGGCAGCAGCAGCAGGTGCAGACAGAGGGGCCACAACATTCCAGCGTGAGTCAATTGAAGTCGATGGAGCCAGAAGCGCGACCGTGTTCACTTCCTATAAACCGTCGTATGGTTTTTACAAGTTACTAGACTGAAGAAAAAAAAAGACTAAAATCCACCCAAACTCCTTTACGCTGTCATGATTTTATTAGCCTGGACCCGGAGCTGTTTCGGTTTTTGGGTTAAAATCAGAGAAATCCCACATGTGGATGAGATCTGCTCCAGAAGGTTTGAAGTTCGTTTTGGTTCAACGCTCACAGACTAAAAGAATGTGACAAAGACTATTTTTAGGATCAGGGCTGAAGTACAATGAGTTTAGTCTCACTGAACAGCCTCAGTACTAAGTATAAATAGTCAGTGTTGGGAAGTTTACTTTTAAAATGTAATCCCCTACAGATTACAGATTACACACCCCAAAATGTAGTTTGTAACGTAATCCATTAAAATACTTAAAGTGAGTAATGTAATCTGAATACTTTGGATTATTTAGCAAAGTAGCAAAGACTCAGATATCGTAACATGAGACATTTTAGGCCTGTTAAATCCTAAATCCTAAATTTTAGTCCTGTTTTAGACCTGGTTTAGATCTAGTTTAGGCCTGGTTTAGTTCTGGTTTTAGACCTGGTTTTAGTCCTGGTTTAGACCTGGTTTAGATCTAGTTTAGGCCTGGTTTAGTTCTGGTTTTCGACCTGGTTTAGATCTAATTTTGCTCTAGTTTAGACCTGGTTTTAGACCTGGTTTAGACTTGGTTTAGATCTAGTTTAGACCTGGTTTTAGTCCTGGTTTAGTCCTGGTTTTAGACCTGGTTTTAGACCTGGTTTAGACTTGGTTTAGATCTAGTTTAGACCTGGTTTTAGTCCTGGTTTAGTCCTGGTTTAGATCTAGTTTAGGCCTGGTTTAGTTCTGGTTTTCGACCTGGTTTAGATCTAATTTAGCTCTAGTTTAGACCTGGTTTTAGTCCTGGTTTAGACCTGGTTTTAGACCTGGTTTAGACCTGGTTTAGATCTAGTTTTAGACCTGGTTTTAGACCTGGTTTAGACCTGGTTTAGTTTTTAGACCTGGTTTAGTCCTGGTTTTAGACCTGGTTTTAGTCCTGGTTTAGACCTGGTTTAGTCCTGGTTTTAGACCTGGTTTAGACCTGGTTTAGTTTCCAGTAATGAGTGGAATTACCAGAAAAAAAATTAAAAATGGGGGGGTTATCGCCCAAAATGTGAAAACAGGAAAATCCCGCTGTGTAATCCATTTATTTCAACAAAGTAACTGTAATCCAATTACCACTCACTGAAACAGTAACTGTAACTGAATACAGTTACTCATAATTTGTACTCTGATTACATAACTCCGGTACATGTAATCTGTTACTCCCAACACTGTAAATAGTAAAAGTGGTGAGTAGTAGCAGTAGTTTTAGTAGTTCACCCTCCTCCTCCTCGTCCAAACTCGTCCGTTCACACTGTTTGAAAACTCGTCGATCGAGTCTGTGGTTTAAAGGTCACATTAGTGTTTGACTGTGGGACATTTTTAAACTTCTGCACAAACTTTGTCTTTGTCTCATCAAATATTCAACAGTGAATCACCAAAATGTCAAAGAGAAGTTTAATCAGGACTCACAGAAGCACAGGAGGTCTGAGGGGACGCAGAGGAAGTAGCAGTAGTAGCAGTAGTAGTAGTAGTTGTAGTAACAGTAGATATATGGATATAAGAGGATGGGAGGGCATCTGACACACTATTCAAGCCAAATGCAAGCTTAAAAATAACAAAACATGGCAAAAAGAAATTCCAATCAAATGACAAAGTCCACCACAACCTGCTCAAACCAAGATGCAACTTAACTAAAGTAAAGTAAGTAAACCAAGGATAAACCAGGACTAAGTCAGAACTAAACAATTTCAAATCCATATGAAATAAAATGTCAAGAAACGACCCATTTTACAAGTAAAAAAAAAAACATGTCCATTTCTGACCAGTGTAAAAGAGAGAAACACGTTATGAACTGGGACGGAGCAAACATCACTGGGACAGAGGAAAACAAACATCACCGCTGGATTAAAGAAGCAATCGAAATATGGAAACGTGCCCACAGGACTGTAAACCGGGACGAGGGGCTTTTTTACTCTCACACACCTGGGATTCTGTCCTGAGGAAGTGGGACTGCAGGTGGCGCTGTCGTCCTGCCTCCACCGGTAGGAAGACGGCGCCAAAACCTGTTTAAATCATCTGACCAGACACGACGCAGAAACATCACGTGACTCTGAGGAAGACGCTAGTGAGCAGTCGAAACTGTCAGGTATGAAATAACCTAATAACATAAACCAGGTTTAAATCTAAACAGACAAACTCAAGTCAAGTCATGTTGGTTAAAGGTCCTAAATTACTCAAAACTGACTCTTGTGAGCTTTAAGTCGTGTTATAATGTTGTTACCTCATCAAAAACAGACCTGGAGTTGTGTTTTGCTTCATTCATGTTTGAGTAACACTTGTGAACATCTCTAAAGCTCAAAATGCCCTATTCCACCTTGTGATGTCATGAAGAGGTAGTCTCGTTTTCAAGTTAACAGCTCCTTTTACCTTTTATGTTATTAGGATCTTTTTTCAGACTAAGAGTTTGTTTTCATACCGGACAGTTTCAACCGGAATATGGAATCATGACCGTGGGACGATAAACCGGGACGAGGGGCTTTTTGACTCTCACACACCTGAGACACTCTCCTGAGGAAGTGGGACTGCAGGTTCCTGCGGGTGGAGGCAGGACGACCGCGCCAAAATGTACATATAAATGAGCTGAGCAGAAACGTCACAGCAACAGGACGTGACTCTGAAGGAGACCACAGGGAACAGCTGAAACTGTCACGTATGAAAACAAACTCTTGGTCTAAATATAGAAACTAATAACCAAAATGATCAGAAGAGCAAATGAACTTCACTGGACTTTTACAGCTGCTTTCACCTTTAGTTCAGTAGAGATTTGCCCTGTTTACACGAGAGCTTTAATTCCGATTAAAAATTATTTAATTTGGAATAAAAATGATTTCCGCTTTAAAAAGACCATGTAAACACTTAATTCCTAATGATTATTCGGAATTAATTAAATCTGATTTAAGTTGGTGGTTTATTCTTATTTTAAATCTGAATTAATTTATTCTCTGGAACAGCGAACCACACGAAACGACAAACCGAGATGACAGAAACCTGGCAGCAGCTGAAGTGTGTGTTTTCTTCCAGTCGACGTAAATACATTCGTGTTTCTGTCCAATCAGAACCTTCCCCACCTCCAGACGCTGAACAGAACTAAATGAACGTGTTTTTAACGTGTTTTCCATGTAAACCTCAATTCAGAATTATTATTTCCACGTAAACTCAAAGAAGAATATTTTAATTCTGAACTATTTAATTCGGAACAGTTTATTCAGAATTAAAAAACATCATGCAAATATGACCATTGGCAATTCCAGGTCTGAAATGATCCAAACGATTTTAGTGAGGTTGTATGGAGTTTAAAAACGTAATGGAGCACCTCCTGTATTACCACATGACATCACAAAGTGAACCACGGTGTTTTTTGTTGGAGAGAAGAACTTGTGTGTTCAATGTGAGAATGAAACAAAACAAAACTCCAGGTCTGTTTGTGATGAAGAAACAACATTGAGTGTGTTTACATGCACATCAATAACCCGGTTATGATCGGGTTTTTTGAGTATCCTGGTTTCTTCATGGTGCATGTAAACGCAGTAACCCGGTTTCAGTATCCTGGTTATTAGAAACCGAGTTACTGTAGCTGGTTTATTCCAATAGTAACCGGGATACTTGTGGCATGTAAACGCAGTATCCCGGTTACTGCAACATAAAGTTGAGTCGCATGCGTCCAAAAGACACTTTCCAGCCTTTCACCACAACAGTAGTGACATAAATAAATTGACCAACATAAATAAATTGACCAAACGAGTGAAATGACTGTAAAATTTAAGAGCTGCGCTAAACCTGCACACGTACGACCTGCACTCGTACGACCTGCAACTCGTACGACTGCGTACGACTGCACTCGTGTGACGCTGAAAAGCTAAAACATGAACTATCTCCTGTACAACACACACACAGAACAGACTCACCATCATCAGCACCTCTTCTGTCACAGAAATAACACACATAATCCACAGAGTCGTGTCATTTAGTCCAAAAAAAAAACTGATCGCATCAGCGGCGCAAGGAGCGAGTTGTTTTTATCGCCGCTAACAGTTTATGCTAATTAGCCAAACGGTCTTAAGTTTCGTTTCTGTAAAACGTAAACAAATATAATCAGAGCTGAATGATCTGATCAAACGGCTGATGTGTCTATAGTGTTTATGGTTTATATGTTGTAAAGTTGAGTTTATTTATGCAGAAGATTTTAATGAAGAATCTGCGCAGTGGATTGTGGGAGATCTCGTAGCTCCTTAGCTTCTTATGCTAAAGGAGCTCACGGTTTGTATTTTTCCTGGTTTATGAAATTGATTTAAGTTAATTTTTGCGCCTGCGCATTTGTAAGATTATGTCAAGAAACCGGGACACTCCATTTGATCATGTACACGCGGATATGAGTGTCCCGGTTTCTCAGTGCTCATGTAAACACAGTAACACGAACACTGACAGAACCGGGACATGGATCATAACCGGGTTATTGATGTGCATGTAAACACACTCATTAAAACACAGATCAGAAAACAGCAGGTGACGGATTCTCCACCAGAAAAGTTACACACTGCACCTTTAAGTCTTTCACTCACCCGGTTTTGGCGAAGTTGGTCCAGTAGGTCATGACGACGGCGCTGAGCATCACGTCGTTCTTGGAGAAGTTGCAGTTGAACAGATCCGTGGGTCCGATCATGGGAATCCCAAACACGTACGGGACCTCGTCTCCGTGCGCCGCGTCCGCCCAGCTCGGCTTCATGTCGCTCTGGCAGTGGTGGTAAAACGCGTAGAAATAAGTCGGCGACCCGTACTGCGCGTGCAAATCTGCCGTGGCCACCGCCGGCGCCACCCACTGATGATCCGTGAACAACGCCACCAAAGTTTTCCTGCGCGTTTCCGGGTTCTCCTTATCCGCCCAATCCGTGTACATGAACTTGATCGTCTCTCGCAGCGTGTCTTTGCCTTCTGGGTAACCGTACAAGTGGTCGACAAAATCCGAAACGGCGAAATCGAAATCGTTCGCGGACACGCCGTCTTCGCTGTCCACGATCCCGTCCACGAACTTGAAGCCCTCGCCCTGGTTGACCCCGAGCATGATGTCGTAGTTGAGGAACTCGCCCTGCTCCATGAGGATTTGCGGATCGTCGGGGATCACGTCTCCGTCGATGACCGGGCCGAAGGCGATGTGGTACTTGGCGGGAGTCACGTACTGCTCGATGAGTTCTTTGTAGTTTTTATTTTGTAAACACTCCACCAGGTCGATGGAGTCCAGCATGTTACAGCCGACGCGCTCGGCCAAAGCTCGAGTGTATTTGGCCGGTTGGTAGTTCACCGCCCAGCTGGACAACGCCGTCCCGCTCTGGATAATCGCCTTCTGGAACATGTCTGGAAAAACGAGAGAGAGAAAAGAGGAAAACAGTCAGAAAGTGTGATTTTAAAAGTGCGAGATTCTGCAAAAAAGACTTTAAGAAGGTTTAAGTCATGATATAATGTTGTTACCTCATAAAAAAACAGACCTGGAGTTCTGCTTTAGTCCTGGTTTAGTTCTGGTTTGGTCATTTTTCTAGTTTTGGTTTAGCCCTGGTTTAGTCCTGATTTAGTCCTGGTTTAGTCCTAGTTCTAGTACTGGTTTAGTCCTGGTTGAGTCTGGGTCTAATCCTGTTTTGATCATTGTTCTAGTCTTGGTTTATCCCTGGTTTAAACCTGGTTTAGTCCTGGTCGAGTCCTGGTTTGGCCTTTGTTCCAGTCTTGGTTTAGCCCTGGTTTAGTCCTTGTTTAGTCCTGGTTCTAACCCTGGTTTGGTCCTGGTTTGGTCTAGATTTAGTCCTTGTTTTAGTCCTGGTTTAGCCCTGGTTTGGTCCTGGTTCTAGCCCTGGTTTGGTCCTGGTTTAGTCCTGATTTAGTCCCTGATTTAGTCCTGGTTTAGCCCTGGTTTGGTCCTGGTTTAGACCTGGTTTAGTCCTTTTAGTCCTCTGTTTAGCCCTGGTTTGGTCCTGGTTTAGTCCCTGGTTTAGTCCCTGGTTTTAGTCCTGGTTTAGTCCTGGTTTAGTCCTGGTTTAGTCCTAGTTTAGTCCTGGTTTAGTCTTTTAGCCTGGTTTTTTGTCCTGGTTTAGTCCTGATTTAGTCCCTGATTTAGTTCCTGGTTTAGTCCTGGTTTAGTCCTAGTTTAGTCCTGGTTTGGTCCTTCTAGCCTGGTTTAGTCCTTGTTTAGTTCTGGTTTAGCCCTGGTTTAGTCCTGGTTTAGTCCTGGTTTAGTCCTAGTTCTAGCCCTGGTTTTAATTCCGTTTTAGCTCTGGTTTAGTTCTGGTTTAGTCCTGGTTCTAATCCTGTTTTGGTCCTGGTTTGCTCTTATATTTAGTCCTTGTTTTAGTCCTAGTTCTAGTCCTGGTTTAGTCCTGGTTTAGTCCTGGTTTAGTCCTGGTTTGTCTAGTCCTGGTTTAGTCCTAGTCCTGTTTAGTTTTAGTCTGGTTTAGTCCTGGTTTAGTCTTAGTATTTGTTGAATTTCTCTTTATAAACATTCACATTTTCAGATAATTCAATCTCGTCGATCCGATTCTCTCTCTCTAATTTAATGTGATTCTTTTTGTTCGGTTTAAAATAATAAGAATAAAATAAAAGACAAAATGAATACTTTTACTTCAAATACACAAAGTATTTTCAATTATTCAAACATTTGTTCTTCGGCGGCTTCAAAGTCGTTCTTAAAAACACAAAGGGAGAAGTCGTGTTTCTTTATTCGCTCTTTTACAGCGTCTGAAAACGAGCGGCGCGTTTGAAGTGCGAGACTCTGATCCAATATTGAACAGAAGAATACGAACGAGAAGAAGAGAGAGACGGAGAGACGGAGAGACGGAGAGAGAGACCAGAGGGAGGGGGAAGAAAGGGTGAAAGAGAGAGAGAAGAGAGAAGATAAGTGAGAGCAGAAGAAGAAACGGGGGGGTGTAAGGAATAAGGAAGAAGTGAGAGAAGAGGAGAGGAGAGAAGAGAAGGAGAAAAAGAAAGAGAGAGGTGAGAGAAGAGAGAGAGAGAAAGAGTGAGGAAAAGGAAGGAGTAAAGAAAGAAAAGATGGGAAAAGAGGAGGGATAGAGAGAAAGAGGAGAAGAGGAGATAAAAGAGAGAGGGAGATGGAGAGAGGAGAGAAGAGGTGGAGAAGAGGAAAAAGAGAGAGGGAGGTGAGAGAGGAGAGGGAGAGAAAGAGTGAGGAAAAGGAAGGAGTAAAGAAAGAAAAGATGAAATGGGAAGGGGATGGGAGAAAGAGGAGAAGAGAAGGAGAGAAGAGGCGGAGAAAAAGAAAAAGAAAGAGAGAGGAGAGGGAGAGGGAGGAAAGAGAGCTTAAGAGAGAGAGAGGAAAAGGAAGGAATAGGGAAAGAAAAGATGAAATGAGAAGGGGATGGGAGAAGAGAGGAGGGAGAGAGAGAGAGAAATGAAGAGAAATGAGGGCAGAAGAACAGGAAAGACGTGAGAGAAAGAGGGAGGGAGAGAGAGATGGGAGAGGGGAGGAGAAAGACAGAGAGAGGGGGTGAGAGGAGAGAAGGAGAGGAGGGAGACAAGAGGCAGAGAAAAAGAAAGAAAGAGAGAGAAGAGGGAGAGGGAGAAAAGAGCGACAGAGAGAGAGAACAAGGAATGAATAAAGAAAGAAGAGATGAAATGAGAAGGGAGTGGGAGAAGAGAGAGAGAGAGAGAGACAAGAAGAGGAGATAAAAGAGAAGAGGGAGAGAGAGAGACAAGACGCTGAGAAAATGAAAAAGAAAGAGAGAGAGGAGGGAGGAACGAGAGCTAAAGAGAAAGAGAGGAAAAGGAAGGAAGAAAAGATGAGATGGAAGGGGGAAAAGAGGGGATGGGAGAAGAAGAGGGAGAAAGAGAGCGAGAGAGGAGATAAAAGGTGGAGAAAAAGAGAGAGAGAGAGAGTGAGAGAGAGAGAGAAAGGAAGGAATAAAGAAAGAAAAGATGAGATGGGAAAGGGAAAAGTGGGGAGGGGAGAAGAGAGAGAAAGAGGAGAGAAGAGGAGTCAAAGGGGAGGGAGACAAGAGGTTGAGAAAAAGAAAGAGTGAGAGCTGAGAGAGGAGAGGGAGAAAGAGAAAAGAAAGATTAAGAGAGAGAGAGAGAGAGAGAGAGAGAGGGAAAAGGAAGGAATAAGGAAAGAAAAGATGAGATGCGAGGGGGAAAAGAAGAAGGAGAGAGAAAAGAGAGAAGATAAGTGAGAGCAAGAAGAAGAAACGGGGGTGAGTAAGGAATAGGAAGAAGTGAGAGAGAAGGAAGAGGAGGAGGAGAGAGAGAGAAGAGAGAGGTGAGAGAGAGAGAGAGAGAGAGAAAGAGTGAGGAAAAGGAAGGAGTAAAGAAAGAAAAGATGAGATGCGAGGGGGATGGGAGAAGAGGAGGGATAGAGAGAAAGAGGAGAAGAGGAGATAAAAGAGAGAGGGAGATGGAGAGAGGAGAGAAGAGGCGGAGAAGAGGAAAAAGAGAGAGGGAGGTGAGAGAGGAGAGGGAGAGAACGAGTGAGGAAAAGGAAGGAGTAAAGAAAGAAAAGATGAAATGGGAAGGGGATGGGAGAAAGGGAGGGAGGGATAGAGAGAAAGAGGAGAAGAGAAGGAGAGAAGAGGCGGAGAAAAAGAAAAAGAAAGAGAGAGGAGAGGGAGGAAAGAGAGCTTAAGAGAGAGAGAGGAAAAGGAAGGAATAGGGAAAGAAAAGATGAAATGAGAAGGGGATGGGAGAAGAGAGGAGAGAGAGAGAAAAGAGAGAGAGAGGAGATAAAAGAGAGAGAGAGAGAGAGAGAGAAATGAAGAGAAATGAGGGCAGAAGAACAGGAAAGAGGTGAGAGAAAGAGGGAGAGAGAGAGATGGAAGACGGGAAAGAGAAAGAGAGGAGAGAGAGGTGAGAGGAGAGGGAGAAAAGAGAGATAGAGAAGAGAGAGAGAGAGAGAGAGAGAGAGAGGAAAAGGAAACGAATAAAGAAAGAACAGATGAAATGGGAAGAGGAGAAGAGAGAGAGAAGAGGGAAGGGGGAGCAAGAGATAAAAGAAAGTTAGAGAAAGAGGAGAAGAAGAGGAGTAGAGAGAGAGAGGAGTGGGAGAAGGAAAATAGAAAAAAGGGGGTAGAAAGAGAGAGGGGGGAGGGAAAGATGAAAGGAAGACAAAGAAGAAGAGGAGAGAAGAGAGAGAGAGAGAGAGAATTCCCAGAGGAGAGACTGGAAACCTGATCCAGGCTCCAGTGAGTCAGCGGCCAATCAGAAACCAGGACACTGCTCAGGGACACGCCCACTTTTATTATTTTTTTTTATTTATTTATTTAGCCCTGGTTTAGTCCTGGTTTAGTCCTGTTTTAGTCCTGGTTTAGTCCTGGTTTGGTCCTGGTTTAGTCCTGGTTTAGTCCTGGTTTAGTCCTGGTTTAGTCCTGTTTAGTCCTGGTTTAGTTTTAGTCCTGGTTTAGTCCTGGTTTGGGTTTGGTCCTGGTTTAGTCCCTGGTTTAGTCCTGGTTTGGTCCTGGTTTGGTCCTGGTTTGGTCTGGTTTGGTCCTGGTTTAGTCCTGGTTTAGGTCCTGGTTTAGTCCTGGTTTGTCCTGGTTTGGTCCTGGTTTAGTCCTGGTTTAGTCTGGTTTAGTCCCTGGTTTAGTCCTGGTTTGGTCCTGTTTAGTCCTGGTTTGGTCCTGGTTTGGTCCTGGTTTAGTCCTGGTTTCCTGGTTTGGTCCTGGTTTAGTTCCTGGTTTGGTCCTGGTTTTAGTCCTGGTTTGGTCCTGGTTTGGTCCTGGTATAGTCCTGGTTTGGTCCTGGTTTAGTCCTGGTTTAGTCCTGGTTTGTCTGGTTTAGAGTCCTGGTCCTGGTTTGGTCCTGGTTTAGTCCTGTTTAGTCCTGGTTTGTCCTGGTTTGGTCCTGTTTTAGTCTTGGTTTAGTCCTGGGGGTTTGGTCCTGGTTTGGTCCTGGTCCTGGTCCTGGTTTAGTCCTGGTTTAGTCCCTGGTTTAGTCCCTGGTTTAGTCCTGGTTTGGTCCTGGTTTAGTCCTGGTTTGGTCCTGGTCCTGGTTGGTCTGGTTTGGTCCTGGTTTGGTCCTGGTTTGGTCCTGGTTTAGTCCTGGTTTAGTCCTGGTTTGTCCTGGTTTTCCTGGTTTGGTTTAGTCCTGGTTTAGTCTGGTTTAGTCTGGTTTAGTCCTGGTTTTAGTCCTGTTTGGTCCTGGTTGTCCTGTTTAGTCTGGTTTGGTCTGGTTTAGTCCTTGGTTTAGTCCTGGTTAGTCCTGGTTTAGTCCTGGTTTGGTCCTGTTTCCTGGTTTAGTCCCTGGTTTAGTCCTGGTTTGGTCCTGGTTTAGGTCTGGTTTGTTCCTGGTTTAGTCCTGGTTTAAGTCCTGGTTTGGTCCTGGTTTAGTCCAGGTTTAGTCCTGGTTTAGTCCTGGTTTAGTCCTGGTTTAGTCCTTGGTTTAGTCCTGGTGGTTTGGGTCCTGGTTTGGTCCTGGTTTAGGTCCTGGTTTAGTCCTGGTTTAGTCCTGGTTTGGTTCCTGGTTTGGTCCTGGTTTAGTCCTGGTTTGGTCCTGGTTTAGTCCTGGTTTAGTCCTGGTTTAGTCCTGGTTTAGTCCTGGTTTAGTCCTGGTCCTGGTTTGGTTTAGTCCTGTTTAGTCCTGGTTGGTCCTGTCCTGGTTTGGTCCTGGTTTAGTCCTGGTTTAGTCCTGGTTTAGTCCTGGTTTAGTCCTGGTTTGTCCCTGGTTTAGTCCTGGTTTAGACCTGGGTTTAGTCCTGGTTTAGTCCTGGTTTAGTCCTGGTTTGGTCCTGGTTTCCTGGTTGGTCCTGGTTTTCCTGTTTAGTTTTCCTGGTTTAGTTCCTGGTTTAGTCCTGGTTTTAGGTCCTGGTTTAGTCCTGGTTTAGTCCTGGTTTAGGTCCTGGTTTAGTCCTGGTTTGCCTGGTTTTTAGTCCTGGTTTAGAGTCCTGGTTTAGTCCTGGTTTAGTCCTGGTTTAGTAGTCCTGGTTTAGTCCTGGTTTAGTCTGGTTTGGTCCTGGTTAGTCCTGGTTTAACCTGTTTAGTCCTGTTTTAGTCTGGTTTGTCCTGGTTTAGTCCTGGTTTAGTCCTGGTTTTAGTCCTGGTTTTGTCCTGGTTTAGTCCTGGTTTAGTCCTGGTTTAGTTCTGGTTGGTCCTGGTTTAGTCCTGTTAGTTAGTCTGGTTTAGTCCTGGTTTAGACCTGGTTTAGTCCTGGTTTTGGTTTAGTCCTGGTTTAGTCTGGTTTGTCCTGGTTTAGTCCTGGTTTAGTTTGGTCCTGGTTTAGTCCTGGTTTAGTCCTGGTTTAGTCCTGGTTTAGACCTGTTTTAGGTTTGTCCTGGTTTAGTCCTGGTTTAGTCCTGTTTAGTCCTGGTTCCTGGTTTGGTCCTGGTTTAGTCCTGGTTTAGTCCTGGTTTAGTCCTCCTGGTTTGTCCTGGTTTTAGTCCTGGTTTAGTCCTGGTGGTTTAGTCCTGGTTTAGGTCCTGGTTTAGTCCTGGTTTAGTCCTGGTTTAGACCTGGTTTAGTCCTGGTTTGGTCTTGGTTTAGACCTGGTTTAGTCCTGGTTTAGTCCTGGTTTTTCCCTGGTTTAGTCCTGGTTTAGTCCTGTTTGGTCCTGGTTTGGTTTAGACCTGGTTTAGTCCTGGTTTAGTCCTGGTTTGGTCCTGGTTTAGTCCTGGTTTAGTCCTGGTTTAGTCCTGGTTTAGTCCTGGTTTAGTCCTGGTTTAGTCCTGGTTTGTCCTGGTTTAGTCCTGGTTTAGTCCTGGTTTAGTCCTGGTTTGTCCTGGTTTAGTCCTGGTTTAGTCCCTGTGTTTGGTCCTGGTTTAGTCCTGGTTTAGTCCTGGTTTGTCTGGTTTTAGGTCCTGGTTTAGTCCTGGTTTTAGTCCTGGTTTAGTCCTGGTTTAGTCCTGGTTTAGTCCTGGTTTGGTCCTGGTTTAGTCCTGGTTTAGTCCTGGTTTAGTCCTGGTTTAGTCCTGGTTCCTGGTTTAGGTCCTGGTTTCCTGGTTTAAGTCCTGGTTTATCCTGGTTTAGTCCTGGTTTAGTCCTGGTTTAGTCCTGGTTTAGTCCTGGTTCAGTCCTGGTTTAGGTTTAGTCCTGGTTTAGACAGTCCTGGTTTAGACCTGGTTTAGTCCTGGTTTGGTCCTGGTTTAGTCCTGGTTTAGTCCTGGTTTAGTCCTGGTTTGGTCTGTTTACGTTCAGAGTAGTGGGACAGTGTGAGGAGACTGACACAGGAGGCTCCAGCTCCAGATCCAAAGATGGTGACTCTCTTGGGTCTCCGTTAAACGCCTGGATGTTTTCCTTGATCCAGCGCAGGGCCTGGATCTGGTCCAGGAGCCCGTAGTTCCCCTTCGCCGCCTGATCCCCGGTGCTCAGGAAACCTGCAGAGAAGAATCAGAGGAGGAGAAGAAAATCAGATACTAACAAGACTAAAACTAACATCGAAACTAGATCCTCACTGTCCACAGGTATCGATACTAAAAAAGTCCCATTGACAAAACAGAAATGAGTCTTTCCTGAATGTCTTTAGAAAGATCTGGAACAATATAAGAGTATTTACACATGAACCACTGAGGATCACAGATATAAACACACACGGGAACAGAAAAGAAAATTCTACCATTTAATGTTGAAAATGGAGTAAAGCTGCTTTCACACAGACACAGTTGGTGCTCAACAAACCAACTATACCAAATGCATCATGGGAGGAGATACTGATGATTTAATTTCCTGTTTGTGGTGAGGAGATGTGGGGTGAATCTTGAACCGTGACCAAACGTGGTCCAAGTAACAGTGGAGCGAACAAAGGAACCAGAACTGATTCAGTGAACAGTTCAGTTTTCCTGTACCGACCAGGTGGACTTAGACCTGCACCTGCTCCTGGCAGATCCAGCATCTCCCTGTGTGTGTGAGCGACGAGCTGGGGCCTGGGTAAAGGGGGTTGGGGCCTGACACCTGCTCCACGACTGGAGGTCTGCAGGTTTGTGAGGCTCTTGGGCCTCAGCACAGAGACCAGCACATGTCCCACAGAGAGGCTCGGTGGGAAGGTCACTGGGTGAGACGGTGCATCTCAGCCTCACTTCCAAAAGGTCTGAAGGTCTGGAGAGCCTCAGTGTCTCCGAGCCGCGAGCAGTCGAACTCCTTCTGCACAGGAGACTTGGATTTACAACAATCAGACCAGTTTTGGTTTGTAGATGTGAAAGAAAAACACTGAAGTCTGTGATACAGAAGAACTGTTTTATTACCTGGTGCAGAACAAATAATCAGTGTGAAAACGTCTTAAACCAGAATTTAACCAGGACTAAACCAGGACTAAACCAGGACTAAACCAGGACTAAACCTACACCAGGACTACACCCAGGACTAAACCTGGACAAACCAGACTAAACCAGGACTAAACCAGAACTACACCAGGACTAAACCTGGACAAAACCAGGACTAAACCTGGACTAAACCAGGACTAAACCAGGACTAAACCAGGACTAAACCAGGACTAAACCGGACAAAACCAGAACTACACCAGGACTAAACCAGAACTACACCAGGACTAAACCAGAACTAAACCTGGACTAAACCAGGACTAAACCTGGACTAAACCAGGACTAAACCTGGACAAAACCAGAACTACACCTGGACAAAACCAGGACTAAACCTGGACTAAACCAGGACTAAACCTGGACAAAACCAGAACTACACCAGGACTAAACCAGAACTACACCAGGACTAAACCAGGACTAAACCAGAACTAAACCTGGACAAAACCACGATTAAACCTGGACAACTAATCCTGGACTAAACCAGCCCCAAAGCAAAAACAAAACCATGAATAAACCCGCTCTAAAACCAGAACCAAACCAGGACTAGACCAGGGCTAAGCAAAGACTAAACTAGAACTAAACCAAGAACTAAACAAAGAACAAACCCAGGCTTAGAAACAGAACTCAACCAGGACTAAAACCAGGACTAAACAAAGACTAAACCAGAAATAATCCAGGACAAAACCAGGACTAGACCAGGACAAAACCAGGACTAAACCAGAACTACACCAGGACTAAACCAGAACTAAACCTGGACAAAACCAGGACTAAACCAGAACTACACCAGGACTAAACCAGAACTAAACCTGGACAAAACCAGGACTAAACCAGAACTACACCAGGACTAAACCAGGACTAAACCAGAACTAAACCTGGACAAAACCAGGACTAAACCTGGACAAAACCAGAACTACACCAGGACTAAACCAGGACTAAACCTGGACAAAACCAGGACTAAACCAGAAAAACCAGACTAACCAGACTAAAGGACTAAACCAGGACTAAACCAGAACTAAACCAGAACTACACCAGGACTAAACCAGGACTAAACCAGAACTACACCAGGACTAAACCAGGACTAAACCAGAACTAAACCAGAACTACACCAGGACTAAACCAGGACTAAACCAGAACTACACCAGGACTAAACCAGAACTACACCAGGACTAAACCAGAACTAAACCAGAACTACACCAGGACTAAACCAGAACTACACCAGGACTAAACCAGGACTACTAAACCAGAACTACACCAGGACTAAAACCAGAACTACACAACAGGACTAAACCAGGACTAAACCAGAACTAAACCAGAACTACAACCAGGACTAAACCAGAACTAAACACCAGGACTAAACCAGAACTACACCAGGACTAAACCAGGACTAAACCAGGACTAAACCAGGACTAAACCAGGACTACCAGGAAAACCACCAGGACTAAACCAGGGACTAAAACCAGAAACCAGGACTAGGACTAAACCAGAACTACACCAGGACTGGACTCCAGTTTTGAGAACTAAACCTAAACCTGTAAACATTAAAACATTTAAACCAGAATCCAGACTTTTCAAAAACAAAAACAAAACAAAAAAAAGCTACAAACCCACGAACGACTGAAGCCCAGAGCAGCTCTAATCTGTTCCGTTTCCGTATCAAACGCGGGAAAAGCGGGTGAAAAGGTGACGTTTCCTGAATCGCGGTTTGAAATGCTAAACAGCTCCAACCACAAAAGTGTCTGGAGATCTCCGGCGGCCATTTTGTGTCCCACTGCGCCGTAACTGCCCCAGGAAACGTGTCAATAATTAAAAGTGAAAGAGAAAAGAAAAAAAAAAAAGCTTTCGATAATAATTCTCCTCGGGGCTGAGACTAAAGCAGCGTTTAAATAAATGATGAGTTTAGATCAAAACCAGACTGAAGCTCTAGGGGGCGCTGCGCTGAGACGAAACAACACAGAAAGTCTCATCGCAAAACAAAATGGAGGTCAAGAAATGTTGGAAAAAATATTGTTCAAAATGAGGAAAAAGAAAAAGAAACAGAAACAGAAACAGACATATGAAACAGGTCTAAACTGAGGACTAAAGCAGAACTAAACCAGGATTTACTGAGGACTGTGTGATCATGAGGATTTGAAGCTGGACCAGGTCTGAACCAGAGACTAAAGTGAGACCAAAACTAGGACTAAACCAGAACTAAACCAAACTAGAGTCTTGTTTTAGTCCTGCTTTAGTCTTCGGTTTTTAGTTCTGGTTTAGTCCCGGTCTAAGCCTTGTAATTTAGTCCAAGTTTAGTCTTGATTTAGTCCTGGACTTCTGGTCTAGTCCTGGTCTAGTCCTGGGTCTTGGTCTAGTCCTGATTTAGAGCTGGGTTAGTCTTGGTTTAGTCCTGGTTCAGCCTGGTCTAGACCTGATCTAGTATTGGTCTAGTCTTGGTTTAGTCCTGGTTCAGGCCTGATTTAGTCCTGGTTTAGTCCAAGTCTAGTCTTGGTCTAGTCCCGGTTTAGTCTTTGTTTAGTCCTGAACTTCTGGTCTAGTTCTAGTCTAGTATTGGTCTAGTCCTGTTTTAGTCCTGGTCTAGTCCTAATTTAATCTTGGTTTAGACCTGATTTAGTCCTGGTTTAGTCCAAGTCTAGTTTGGTCTAGTCCTGGTTTAGTCTTGTTTTAGTCCTGCATTTAGTCCTGGTTTAGTTCTAGTTTAGTCCTTGTTTAGTCCTGTTTTAGTCCTGGTTTAGTCCTGTTTTAGTCCTGGTCCGAGTCCTGGTTTAGTCCTGGTTTAGTCCTAGTCCTGGTCTAATCTTTGTTTAGTTCTGGTCTAGTCCTGATTTAGTCCTGGTTTAGTCCTGGTTTAGTCCTGGTTTAGTCCTGGTTTTAGTCCTGGTTTAGTCCTGGTCTAGTCCTGGTTTAGTCCTGGTTTAGTCTGGTTTCTGGTTTTAGTCCTGGTTGGTAGTCCTGGTTCAGTCCTGGTTTAGTCTGGTTTAGTCCTGGTTTTAGTCCTGGTTTAGTCCTGTTTAGTCCTGGTTTAGGTCCTGGTTTAGTCCTGGTTTAGTCCTGGTTTAGTCCTGGTTTAGTCAGTCCTGGTTTTAGTCCTGGTTTAGTCCTGGTTTTAGTCTGCCTGTTTAGTCCTGTTTTAGTCCTGTTTAGTCCTGGTTCCTGTTAGTCCTGGTTTAGTCCTGGTTTAGTCCTGGTTTTAGTCCTGGTTTAGTCCTGGTTTAGTCCTGTTTTTAGTCCTGGTTTAGTCCTGGTTTAGTCCTGGTTTGTTAGTCCTGGTTTAGTCCTGTTTAGTTTAGTCCTGGTTTAGTCCTGGTTTAGTCCTGGTTTGTCCTGTTAGTCCTGGTTTTAGTCCTGGTTTAGTCCTGGTTTAGTCCTGGTTTAGTCCTGGTTTGTCCGTTTAGTCCTGGTTTAGTCCTGGTTTAGTCCTGGTTTAGTTAGTCCTGGTTTAGTCCTGGTTTTAGTCCTGGTTAGTCCTGTTTTAGTCCTGGTTTAGTCCTGGTTTAGTCCTGGTTTAGTCCTGGTTTAGTCCTGGTTTAGTCCTGCCTGTCTTAGTTAGTCCTGGTTTAGTCCTGGTTTAGTCCTGGTTTAGTCCTGGTTTTAGTCCTTTTTAGTCCTGTTTAGTCCTGGTTTAGTCCTGGTTTAGTCCTGGTTTAGTCCTGGTTTAGTCCTGGTTTAGTAGTCCTGGTTTAGTCCTGGTTTAGTCCTGGTTTTAGTCCTGTTTAGTTTTAGTCCTGGTTTAGTCCTGGTTTCCTAGTCCTGGTTTAGTCCTGGTTTAGTCCTGGTCCTGGTTTAGTCCTGGTTTAGTCCTGGTTTAGTCCTGGTTTAGTCCTGGTTTAGTCCTGGTTTTTTAGTCCTGGTCCTGTCCTGGTTTAGTCCTGGTTTAGTCCTGGTTTAGTCCTGGTTTTAGTCCTGGTTCCTGTTCCCTGTTTAGTCCTGGTTTAGTCCTGGTTTAGTCCTGGTTTAGTCCTGGTTTAGTCCTGGGTTTAGTCCTGGTTTTTTAGTCCTGGTTTAGTCCTGGTTTAGTCCTGGTTTTAGTCCTGGTTTAGTCCTGGTTTAGTCCTGGTTTAGTCCTGGTT